GTACATGTCATATAACGTTCAAAAGTCATAAAATCTCATTTTCGAAAATTTTCGCGATTACCTTGCCAGTAGGCATGGGAAGTAAACAACTAGATATGATTTAGTCATTCGTTGAATGATGAATGATCGTGCTTGGTGTTACAGCATAACATAAACAATCTCAAACCTAAAATTAATTATTATGGATCATAAAAAACATATTAGGATAGCTACATAAATTTTTCTGATTTCGTAGAGTTAATTTTTGAAAATGATTTAGATCCAGTATTGGTTGTCTGAAAATATTAGCTTTGTATCTGTCAAGGTTTTTGGCCCCAGCTTTTGTAGAAAAGATCAACCCGTGGCGGTCTTGGTATTCATATCAGAAGTAACATTTGCACATATACTTGTTTGTAACATATGTTTATCAAATTCAAAATTGGTGCCTCCAACGTCATTAGACCATACGTACATAAGTCGACGGACGCAAAAAGTAAGTTAAGAATCAAATTTCGACAGCAGACGGCATTCAGTCAGGTGTACCACAAAGCTTAGTGTTGGTAATTTTGACGTTTTTGCTTTATACTGCAGATTCCAAAGATAACTTCAGTAATACCAATGCTCATTTTTTCGCTGATGATATACAGAGGAAATGTGATTTTAATCCGGAAATGTTCAGAGTAAATGCCGACCTTGGTGGAGTTAATTGGTTCTGTAGTAGCTCTCATAACTTAAGACTAAATCTCTTTAAATGTTCTGCCATACTATTCGACAATAAAAATTTATGTGAAAATGTTAAGTCACCGTTTCATATGGAAGCTAATAGGGAGGCAATTATGTTTTCTGAAAAAGAAAAAAAATCGACTCGGACTTATAACTCTTATCTGAATAACTCTTTGAACAATTGTTATCTATTTCTTAGGATTTTTTTTTTGTTAACAAATACTTCATCCCTTCGATATGTCAGTTGTAAACGTGTGTATACGAGGGATGTCTTTTAAGTCTTGCATATGGAAATAAAACAACACGGTAGGTAGTTTTAAATACACATCTGCATGTGCTCGAACCAATATTTTAAGCACTTATTCGACTCGTTAGCTGGCAGATCCAAAACGGCAGTTTTGAATGCGTCAACTGCTTCTTCTGGTGACTGGAACCTTTGACCACGCAGTGTGTTTTTAATTTTCGGGATAGTAAAGAAATCGTTAGGACATAGATCGGGACTATATGGTGGATGGTCCAATAATTCCACGTTTTCTTCCGTTAAAAATACTGCCTTGTTTTTTGGGCTGTGTGCGAGCTTGCATTGTCTTGGTGGAGGAGGATTCTTCTTTCGGGGTTGATTTTTCGAAGCTCGGTGATGACTTTTGGCAAACAAATGGTGGTATACCATTCGGCAGTAACAGTTCTTTGCTCATTAAGAGGAATTGTTGCAGTATGACCCGCTTTTGACACAAATGTCGCGACCATCTTTTTCAAAACACTTCGAGAACGAATGACTTTTGTTGGCTTTTCTTCACCTTGGAACACCCAAACAGCCGACTGTCGTTTATTTTCTGGTTCATAACAGTAAATCCACGATTCATCGCCACTAACAATGCTGTACACATTTTTTGAGTTTCCGGAATTGAAACGGTCAAGCGTTTTGTTGACACCAATTAACCCTGGCTGCTTTCTGCTCGTCAGTCAACAGGTGGGGTATCCAACGAGAAAATAATTTTCTTAATCCTAATCTCTTCATGTAAAATTTTTTGAATTGAGGTCTTTGAGATCTTCAAGGACGCCTCAATCTCACGATATGTCACAAGTCTATCCTCAATGATGAGAGTTTGCGCACAGCATCGACGTTTTCCTGGGTGACTGCCATTTTTGGTGCATCCACCCTGGAATCGTCGCTAAGACTCACCCGTCCACGTTTGAATTCTCCATACCAACGGGAAATTGTCGACTGATATTGCGCTTTGTTGCCGAAAACAGTCAGTAACTCAGCAAGGCATTCTTGTTGCGATAATTGGCTCTGAAAGTTGTAATAAATTATGGCGCGGAAATGTTCTCGGTTGAGTTCCATTTTTCTAATGACTTGGTGACACTTACTCTTCACTATAGTGAGAAATTGTTGTGAAACTTTGAATTTAAGTTTACTAAAGAGTGAGGTTAAAATTCAGTACTGACGTTCGATCCGCGCGGCCTACTATGTTTCTATATGCAAAACTTAAAAGACATCCCTCGTATAATTGTCAGGTTCTGCAAGAAAAAAGGTGTTCGATATGCGTGTCTCTAATGAGAAAGGATATTTATGAAAAGGGGACGATTCTGTTTTTTCTTCTCGTATCAATTTCGTGTCGGTATACCAAAGACTAAGGAGGCCCGCAGCAGATTCCAAATCCCCCATACAATCGAAGGTGGGGTTGGGACATACGCCCAGTGATATGGTGCGGTGTTTCGATAGAAGCCGCATTGTTACCCTGAACTGCCGTCTTATCTCCGCATTTATCTACGAGCATCCTCTATTCCCTCTTGAGAAGCGATTCCTGAATCGGGACAGAGGTTCCCAAACAAACAAAAAACAGTACATATTACTTGGAAAATGGAATTCGTTCCACATACATAATAAAGTTCTGTAAAATTAGAGAAATCACACATATAATTGCCATTTTGTGAGATGAAAATAATGCAATAGCCTTTATAGCCGCTCTCAACTTTGGGCTTTCGGATGAGATAAAAAGTACATCCAAACGTGAAAATTTTCCACCTACCTGTAGGTATAACAATTTTGGAGAATGGACTAAGTTTTTTGCGCTTCTCGAATTGTTGAACGGATTTTTGTTTGGTCAAAGTACGATAGTGATACATTATTTTGCTTAGTTCGAATGAAACCAGGCACGTTGTTCCTCTTATGGAAGACTTGATACTTTTCCGTATTATCTCTTTGTTTAGTCTGTTACCAACCTAAACCAGAAAATGTGCAATACCTTCTTAAGAGGAGCGTTAGTTTAAGTGCCAAACGTGATAGAGGAATTTTAGACTGATTTTGGAAAAACATTTTTTACCCCAAACTATATTTTTGCTGTAAGTTGAGAGTTACCACTTGCCAAAATTGGATGATGCTAAGGACCTGTCATGGTGAGAACTGAGAAGTGGGGGAAATCAAATTATTTTTTTTTGAAAACTTGTTGAATTTATCTATTGAATTGTTTGTTATACTTGTTATTGTGATAAATCAATATCGAGAGATAATCCTTCCAATTTTCCACAATTTGGTAAATATGAATAGATGACACTAAGCTGCTTGACATCGGCATTTTTGTTCATACAACTGTGTGTCATGAAAATGTTTGGAAAGATGCTCTTGGTCAAGGATCTTTATGCTATTATAGCAAATCGAGTGTCCTGTAGTGGTAACATGTGATGCCAAAGCACATCTTTCTGGATGCAATCTGGCGTCACACCTGTGGAATGTTATTCAGCCCTTTAGTGATCTGGAAGTTTGACCTATATATATCAAATTGCAACCATTACAATTACAGTATTGGTTAAGCTAAGCATCGTAACTCTATCTTTCATTTTGGAAAATACATTATTGATTGTAAGGACGAATTTACAGTCAATACGACAATTTAAAGTGCCACATAGTCTGGCCAATTTTGGAGTTGTTTCCATTTGTCTCACCAAATTCAACAACCCAGGATTCATGTTCTCATGCTCAGCAAGTCGTCTTCGGAATGGGAGAGGGAGAGGGTATTAGCAATTGAAATTTGAAAAACGGGGGTGGCGGCTGTATGCTTGAGCAGTCCTCACCCTAAAAGCGGTATCATGGAGGAGAGCTGTAAATAGAACAACTTCCTCACAATACCTAACATCAAAGATTAAACAGAATAAAGTTAACAATAAACGAATTAAAATGGGTCACTATGGGTGTCAAAACCCATGACGATCCTGCTAGTCGCACTTAGAAGTTGATTGAAAGGTGGTACTATATATAATGGGAAAAACCAAAGCAAGGATAAAAAGGTTGGTCAAATATTAGCTGCCAGAACACTCTGAAAATGCTACCAAAAAAGAGTCTCGCAGGAAGTTCAAGGTATTTCCTCAGAAGTTACTACTTTCAATATACATACGTGATAATTATTGAACGGGCGTGAAAAATGTTGACAGTGTCGAGGATCAGGAGCAGTGAATTCTTTTCTTCTACCATGACAGAATTTGCTTCATTGCTAGTGTGAAACTCATTACATCAACTGTTTGTCGCCACGAAATTATAGGCGCATAAGACAATTTACATGGAGTGTTAGGCCGAAGCAGATAGTAATTAGTCAACTTGGAGCACTTGGACACACTAAAACATAAAACTTGTTTTTGGTAGAAAGTGCCAAATTCCAATCTAAACCATACTGTAGAGCCAATATATAATTTCGGAAACTATCAACTAGAGCTAAAATACACATTACAAAAAACCCTGCAAATAACTTACTGTGACTCAAGGACATATTCAATAAAATGGAAACAGGACAGGAGAGTGACATATGTCATGACAGCAGATACTATAGCTTATAGTAGAGGGGATGAAATGTTAACTAAGAATAAAGCTGGAGATAAGACGTCCTTGTTTTTTGGGTCCATATTTCGTTATTGAACACATATCCCCTTATGTGAAAATTATAAAGGACAATAAGGAGATAATAAGATGAAACTTTATTATTCATAATAATAGTCCGTAGTGATAGAAACTAGATATTTTTACGTAGTTAAGTGTTTAAAGGGCCATACTATTCTATCGTATATTCTAAGCTACTTAATCTATTCTTTTACTGTATCTCTCTCTGTCTCCTATTTATTTCTTATACATAAATTCATTTTTATCGTATATTTTATAGCAATTAAGAAATACATTTTGTATATATGTACTCGTATATAGGTGTATTTAATCAACAAATTTATATCTTGATATATTTTTTTCATCGTGCCATAAAACACTGTCAGCGAGGGGAAGAAATTTCATTTCATTTTTCATTCTTTTGAATATCGGGGGGGGGGGAGGTGTAGTATTGTACGAACACACCGTCTAAATATTGTTATTAGAAACTGTTACAAATAATATAGATCACCGGAAATACTGCGGTAAGCAGAGCAACTACCTCGCGATACCTGGCAACAAAGATAAACAGAATAAAGTTAACAAAAACAGAATTAAGGAGTAAAGGCCCACTAGATTAGAAATATAAATATATTACAGTTTAACCGATTAGTCACACATCCCTCTTCTGATTGGATTTGAGTACAGACAGTGTAGTCGGCGAGGTAGCACTCCAAACATGAGAGCAGTACTCGAGGGTGAGTCTCAATTGGCGTTTGTATAGAGTGAAGGTGCAATTAAATTTTGATGATTTGTTCTAATGTTATATGTGTGGTAAACTCTAGATGATACTGTAAGTGGAAAGTTGTCTTTATCAAATTGTCACGGTAATCCTACGAAGGGCTATAGTAAACTTTCTCCGGTCTAAAAAACTGAGGAGAGGAATATTTATGAACATTTTGAGAGCTGCTGTCACGAAACAATCGTCGTGTTATCGCAGCTACTTGATCTTCGCATAATGCTATAGTTTCTGGGAGCATCCCAATACCGATGCTTGGCTGGCCCCTTTTTCATAGAGCACCGATTTATCCGCATGAGTTGCCAGCCCCGACTTGATTACCATGGGAAACAGCGCAGATATGTTATTTTTTATGTGCCATTTACTTCCTAGAATGGATATGACTGGGATTTAGATAGTTGGAAATGGAAATGAGAATAAACAAATGCAGATGTACTCAACAACTTTAGTGGGTAACAGCTATGTCAGAATGTACTTCTTTCAGATCGATATGACCCTCACACGTGAATAAAAGCACATAATCTACTGTCTTACAAGTCATATTACTTATCTGTTTACTCAATGCTCCAAGTGGCTACCTTGCCGATATTTAAATACGTTTTTCAATATCTCAAGAACGACAAGGTTATTTGCCCTGGAATTGCACTATAGCAGTGTTTGGGGTAGTTTTTCCACAGAATGAAACGAAATACCTTCAGAATAACCTGAGATATCACATGCAGAAAGCTTAGGCTATAAGATCCTCCATACAGGATATAGGAAAATAAGATGGGACTCTCGCGGATTGACAATCATAAAAAATAAGGTTTCAAGTTTCTAAAAAAGCATCCTCGGCGCCTCGGAGGTACAAGAAGCTAAGATGATCCTACTGTAAATCGTTAATTTCCTAAATAGTTTTGGAATGCCATTCCGTAATTCATCGAAATTTTGAGGGCGTAGCACTCAGATGATGGTGATCATAAAAATTAATCGAGCTTGAGATCGCCAGAAACATTATACCGGAAGCAGTGAAGCTTATTTTTCTAAGAGCCTGTATGATAATGTCTCAGCAACGATACTAGCAGGAAAATCATGCTCGTGGTGTCTGATATCGATAAACTGAGCTGTCTTTAAGAAGAACGTATAGGTTCTCATGGTGCATTTTATCACATTATCCAGTACAGCCTAAAAAAGGAAATATTGAATTAGAGTTTTTTTAATGCTACCTAAGGCTAAATAAGATAACACAAAATTTTAACATTTATTAAAAAAAACTTATATCTACATCGCATTCTCTCTAATAAGGTCTTGAAGGTCGGGGATGTGCACACTTGGTGCCTTCAACAGCTTCTTGGACAGTATTCTGCCAAACCCTGAAGTTGACTTCGTCATAATTTAACCGACCATACAGAAACTCTGGCATGGTATTTGTGAGCACGTACACTCTATCTTTAACGACTTTCACATCACTGGGGTAAATCATTCGTTGGTCATCTTTTTGGACGACACCGGCAGTCATGAGGTTCATATTGACACATCCCAAAGCATTTTCGTTGACTAGACCCAGGAACATGATGTTTGTGGGCTTGTGGAGGTCAGCCGAAGATGTCTGAGAGTTTGGACCTCGGTTGCCTATGAGCTAGAAAATTAAATAGTTAGAAGATTTAGAAAACTAAAGGTTAAACTCAGAACATTTCAACGGTAGAAATTCATTTGAACCACACCCTGGTATTTCGTCACTGATGCAGTCACAAGCAGTCTTTTTCTTTTTGTATCGAAAGCGACGCTCTTAATGTCTACAAATGCTGTCATCTGCGAACTTTTGGATTAATGTCTCGTACAATAAATAATACAGACATGAATGTGTAACAAGAACAATGTTGTAGTCAAAACCGATGCCTTCTTCTTAGTCAAGGTACTATGTTTTAGAAGCTCAAAACTGCACCAGATTGTTGGGTTTTGTTCCTGCATGAACAGTGCTGCAATCAGCAAGGCTGTGGATCAGACTGATTGTACAGAAAAGGAGCTAATTCATATGTAAGAGGCACGACGTCGGAGTCAAGACCGATCTATGTGGAACACCGCGTTGAATGTGGGTGAGTGCGATATGGTTTTATTATGTTCCGGCTTCATATCGTAAATAGAAAGGTGTAGTACTTCGATTCCCGGCCAAACCCATGAGATTAAAGCGCGCTCGCAGCGAAGAAAAGTAGCTCACCGTGCCCTCTCACCTTCCTCCTCTCAGGTCCCATGGATTACAAACTCTCTCCTTGTCCTTGTACCACTCGCTAAACATCGTACTCGAGTTCGCGGACCGATTTTTACGTTTTCAGCAGTGTCAAGGTGCTCAAACCTAAGAAATGACAAAGGAACAGCTCCTCATACGAGCAATCCCTAAACACAAATTCAGAGTTCCTTTCGACGCAGAGCAGCGGGTTATACGCCGGCCTCTTTTTCTTAAGGGTAAGTCTGGTGAGTCAAGACGTTTGATTCTTAGCCTCAAGGTACTTAATCTGTTTATAGGGATAGAACACTCAAGTTAGAAGGCTATTGAACTAAGATCAGACTTCTCCGTAGAGACACTTTCTTAACGAATCTGGATTTGGAATATGCACATATATTGGTAGCCAGGAAGAATCATAGAATTTATTTCAGATTCATATTCAAGGGACAGCTCTTCCAATACAATGCTGTGTCGCTTAGGATAAATTGTGCCCCTCATGTGTTGACAAAGTTAATAAAACCGTCTCTATCTGTATCTCCTTCCGCTCGGTTATACTGATAGAAATTGCCTGGATAATATCCAGGCAACAGTTAACACCCCTTTTTTAATCAATTACAAAAAAATTTAATCACTCAATTGAAGTAATTATACTTAAAGTTCTTAAAGATTTGTGTTGTAAAAATTGGGCACTTTTAGGCCCAGTATTCAATTGTGACAGAAAGAAAGTATCCTTACTTGAGCGGAAGAGGCAGACATTACTACACTTAGTAAGGGCAATATAATAAATACTTGGTGTCAGCTAGTCTTGCATTTCGTTACAGCTGACTATACACTAACGAGTCAAATTGCCTACTCTGTAACATTCTCAAGAGAATTTTGATGATACTCTGACACTAACATCTGTTCACATCTTCAGTTGTACAATTTCTCGGGCTGAGTCTCATGGTTTTTGGTCACCCGCATCCCAATCATCTGGAACTACTAGCAGTATATATTTTGCTCGGTCGTGAAATATCTGCTCGCGACTTGAGGGGCTGTCGAATATATTAGACCCCATTGATAATGCAACAATTATATCCTACATCAATCGAATGGTAAGCTTCAAGTTTCCACGCCTGGACTAGATTGCGGGAGAGTGTACCCTAATTGAAGCAGACAACAACCGTCACCAGTTGAATAATATTGAAGTTGGAATTTCTCAGCCTAGGGGCCACTCAGGTGGCAACCACTTTCAGTTTTACCGTATTTTATGCCCAAATATATGTGCAGTCAAAGTATTTATCTTTCACTGTAAAGAAACTTTATCATTGTGCCTTTGTTCCTACTATGTGTAGATGGATAGCGTCTGTTTCAGCTGATAGTGGTCTAGGTGTGTCACAATTGACACGTACATGAGACGCGTCCACCTCTGTGCTGGCTAGATTATAGTACGCTCAGACTTGCGGCGGGCTGGAGCGCCTTCTCTGAGACACCTCACAAATTTCTTATGCCAAACAATAACCTTGCTCGAGCGGCATTTGAGATAAACAAATTTCCACACCTTATGTTATTACCTTAGCTGTTTGCTACCATGTTACAGATATTTTTATTTTTGAACCTATGTACGTTATATTAGCTGTTCTAAATTTAGTTGTTATAATGGAAATGTTAATTTAGTTGACCCATGTATTGTATACAATTGGTGCAGTTGTGTACAATATATCGTTTACTACTGTAGAGCGTTAGTTGTATGTTGTTGCAATACGTTTTGAACGAGTACACCTGTTTTATTTACGAAACGGGGCGGAACATAATTACATGATCAAACGAACTTACCTGTAAGTGATGTTCGATCTTAATTATGTGAAGGCCTCCTCGAAGTAAATAGCACCCTATGTATTACCCAATTGTTGCAACAACTTGGCTTTGAAGAAAATGAGTTTGTAGGCCAAGGAGCCGGAGAGAGGGAAGGTGGGAGGGCGCGGTGAACCTCTTTTCTTCGCTGCGTGAGCACTTTGAAGTCGTGGGTTTGGCCCCCGTTCTATTTACTTCGGCGAGGCCTTCACATAATTAAGATCGAACATCACTTACAGGTAAGTTGGTTTGATCATGTGATCATTAGAAATAAAAGTACAATTTCCTTACACATAACCAAATCGCCTTATTCGGTGTCATGTATCCCAAATCTATACAACATATAAAATAATTAATTATGACTAGGCAAATACATTTACCTGAACTAATTAAACAAATTTAAAAAATCTAACAAAAATGTTTTACTTGGAGTAGGAAATCTCATTTTAGCATAGCTAAATCTATAAATCTAACTTAAATGTTTTACTTGGTGTAGATACACTGATTGTAAAAGTTCAAAATAAACCGCTGTATTCATTAAAATGCAATTTGTTGTTTAGAATTGCAATCATTACCCAGATATGCTTTTAAATCCCAATAAAATAATTCATTCAGACTAGGGAAATTCATTTACCTAAACTAATCAAAGAAATTTAATAAATCCATTAACATGTTTTACTTGAAGTAGGCAAACTCATTTTAATAGTTCGCTAATTTTAAATAAACTGGCGTACTCAATCTAATGATGATACTTGGGCGCTAGGACGAATACGTATGGTGCAGACCTTCATGAGTATCTGTAGCTCAGAATTGAGATAGAATCGTTCCGCTTTACTATGTCAGGGGTGAGATGTTAATCTAAGCATTTTGAAGCTAAATCTCATACCTGGAAGTCATCCTCGTGATACGATCTGGTAGCCATAGTTTCATTTCTCAGTATCTTTGTCGACACCTTGTACATATTCGTTCCAGCCATGGAGTGGAAGTACATGTCTCTGTAACCGTCCTTCTTGAGATCAGTCAGCTCCACACTGAAGATGCCGTCGTTCCATTGAAAGTGATGACCAGCTATGTAGAATTCACCACTAAGTGGTTCCAGATAGAAGTAATTATGTCTAACTTTCCATGACCTGTTGTCTCTCAGGCTGTATACTATCAGACCGTAACCTCCTAAAATGCAATGCTTGCTAATACTATAAGTCCTGACACGTTTGTGAAACAGAATCTTTTTTCTAAATCTAAACACTACCTTGAATGTATGTATGAGCCAAACTAATCGACTGTCTGAAAAGTAAGGAGGCTACAGTAACAATTATTGGAAGGCTTCACAAGCGTTAGGTGAAAAAGATTTATTTACCAGAACAGTAGAGAGTGGCATAACTCGGTTTGCTTTTGTGTATGAGTGAGCAGACCTCGCTGTACTCGAAGATATAATGGGAAAGCTTTTACCTCGCGCTCCTCAAAAAGTTTTGGGGGCAAGTACACTTTCACAAAAACTTATTGTTTACCAATGATCGACCCCCCCCCTCCCTTAGAGAAATTCCTGCGGACGCTCAATTTGCTTTTTATAACAACTGTATTTTTATAGAAATCAGTACTTTGTAAATGACAAAGTTCTTTTATAAGCAAGAGTATATAAACACGAGTTTTTGCTTACCTAAGTCAGGTATATAGGCGTATGCATTGAGGCATGTATCTTCTGTTACGTCAATCACTACACTTGCTAGATTTGAAGTTGGAGTCACTTGATCTGCTGGAATCGAGTATCTTTGGACAATTCTGTCCGTTTTGAGATCAATTATTATAATTTCAGAGGGCTTCACGATAGTCGTGTTACCTGGAAATGTTGTTTAATATGACTAAAATTAAAAAATGAGATTGCGTGCTTCCAACAACCATTAGAGTTATATTTGAACAAGTTCAACAAGTCTGGCCTCTAAAAGAAACAACATATGTTTGAATTATTTCTTTACTAACGTTTCAAAGTTGTCCGATATTAAACAGGCAGCGGTGGCCGCAGTAGTAGACTCTTCGGTCTCCTGATCAGTCGCCGTGCGCTGTGCGGGTTCGAGTCCCGTCCCAGGAGAAATTTTTCTCTTGACTATGGATGTCCGTAGGTGGTAGATGGTCTCTGACTGTCGAACGCGGAGGTACCACCCGGCACCTCGTAGGCGGAGCCAGAATGTGTGCATGTTGCATGCACACGTGTTCCCTCGCCAGAGTCCGTGTGGCGCCCCCCCCCCTTTCCCCTGTATCCTCCTATAGCCCCACGGTACCCAATGGGTGTTTAGGCCTTAGGCCTTCGTGGTAATTGGAGTATAAAAAAAACATTTGAAAAAGACCTTCGTGGTGGCCGAAACGTTTGTAAAAAATAATTCCAACATATGGTTTGACTTAGCGGCTAAGCAACCATTGAGTTCTACCATCATAAAAATCATAGCATAAGTTTCAGGTGTTACAAGTTAGGTTACTCCACAACAACGAACAAAGAGTTTGCACACATGTACTTATATGTGAAATGTTTCTTGGTGTTGTTAGAATTCTCTGCACTGATAAGTCTAAATTGGCGCGGCTATCGGGCCGGCACATTGACACAACACCAGATTTCATCGTACGCACAACAGTTTATGCAACTTTATAGCACGTCAAAGCACGTAGAAGGATGAGTACTTAGTACACTTAGTAAACTCCTATGTGGTGGGCGACACTTGTCTGTTTTATCTAACGGACTTAGCCCGGTAAGAAAACAAACATTGTTCCTTAGCATAAGGAAAACTGGATCTAGCGGTAGGCAGATATTGACAAATTTTTGAAAAAATCTGTTCTTCTAGATCCTTTGGTTACGATCCTTTGAATATTATATACAGGGTGTTAATAAAGTATGTAGACAAACTTTAACCATCGAATCCTTGGTCAATTTAAAGACGAAATTTCCATATGAACATGGGTCCGCAACGGCCTTGTTTTCAAGCTAGAACATATTAGCACTAAAATAAATGATGATGTTGTTCTAAAAAATTGTAAAAGAATGGAACGCATTTTATTTTAATCAAGTATGTCCTGTGGTGAATATCTCATGATTTACAGTTGTTTTCAGATCCGCCATGTACGTAGATACGGATAATGTTATCCAGTATTTTTTGATAAAATAGCATGACATTGATTCGTTTTGATCGCAATACTTTTAATACTTACGTATCGTGCTTATCTAGACACCTATGACTTACCCGAAAACAATTTAATTAATTTATTTTCTCAAATAATTGGACAGCTGTTTCCTTGACTGGTCATTCTAAGGCTCCAAAGTTTTGGTGACTACAAATTGTCATAATCGTCCAGTTCAGTAATAAAGAAATGACAAATATGCATTTCGTTTACGGAATGGCTCTGGGTAACGCTCGACGAGCACGACGTTTTTTATGGTGATCGATTTCCACAACGCCCGCTGCCTAACGTACAAACTTTCGTCAACATTCACGCTCGACTATATGAAACAAACAGTTTCAAGAGATCCACACATGTTGCATGAAGACCCGCAAGTGCAAGAACCATCCAAATAGAAGAAGCTGTGCTTAATAAAATCGAAGGGGACCCTACAACAAGTACCCGAAAAATTACGCACCTGCTAAATTTAAATCATGTAACGGTATGGCAAATTTCCAAAGATCAGCAACTTTATACATATCATATACAACGTGTACAAGCGATTTTGCCTCGAGATTTGCCTATAAGAGTTGATTTTTGCAACTGGTTACGTGAAAAAGTAACATTAAATCAACATTTTTTAAATCGAATACTATTCACGAATGAAGCACGTTTTTCACGAACAGCAATAGTAAATTTCCATAATAACCATGTATGGTGTGAAGAAAATCCCCATGCCATAAATGAACATAATACGCAACATGACTTTACCTTCAATACTTGGATTGGAATCGTTAGTGACCATTTGCTTGGCCCTCATTTCCTTCCCCCCAGACTTAGCGGCGAAGAGTACCAAAGATTTATGGAATTTGACCTATCTGAGCATGAGAAATAACGTGGACATAACCTTTGAATTTAAGACCTTAAAGCTGTACCCGACAACGCTACAACCTCAATACTTTGGCTGTAAAGGTGTCTTTGACGAAATGGATGTACAAGAACTTCTTGATTTGGCCGCTATAGGGGCAGTGAACAACGAGGAGTTGGAGACTCGGATTTTGCACAGCATTCGCTTGACTTCTTTCGCAGTACACATAATACAAACTTTATGAATAAAAATGAAAACCACAGGTCAACCGATTTTTTTTTCAAATTACGAAAAATCACCCATTAACGGCACCTAACCTCAAATCATAACGATCATCGCCCGATTGGTTCCGGGGATCCACGAAACGATCATATACCTCCTCGCGCTAAGTGTTCTCAAATTACGCTAGGCGGTAACGTAATTAGTGCCGGCTATCATGAAACCCACAACTGAGCATGCATATCTGTCAAAATAACGTGCCTAGAAAATACCGCAACACGTTAAGTGACATGCGAAAACTCCCTAATAATTATACAAATCGATGGATTGGAAGAGGCGTAGACTCCTGTTCAAGGCGTGAAGAGTCAGAACTGTCGAGTCATGTCTGACTGTACAAAATACTCCGGTTTTTTTCAGGAGAGTTCGTCAGTCAATGTGTAACAGTCTAGACGCCTGTATTGAAGTCGAAGGTGGCCACTTTTATAGTAAAAAAAATTATTCGATATTTTCTATTGTTGTGGTAATTTTCGAATGTTGCTGTTTAAAACTATTGACCTTCTAAATAATTTTTTCCAAAAAACAGGAAAATACTATTTTCATCCACGTTCATATTCAACCTCAGCAACTTGTAAAACATGAAAAATTTATCATAGGTTATACCAACTGCTCAATAAATACGTTTCATTAATCATAGAAATATTTGGAACATTACTCGTATTTCTTTAGTGACAGTGTTCCAGCTCGAAAAGAAAGCCGTTACGGACCCATGTTTATATGAACATTTAGTCTTCAAATTGACCAAGGATTCGATAGTTAAACCTTGTCTACTGTATTAATACCCTGTGTATCCTGAGTGACAGGAATTTTTTACATATCGATTTGTCTTGCCATGAACAGCAAGTGCTAAAATGGTCAGGTCTTTCTGTTAAGCTGCGTGTATTGTTTGGTGATAAAGAAGCATTCAGTTTGCGTACATTTACGGTGTCAGTTAAATGTTAAATTGATTATTATTTTATTGATAAGCCTTTTTGTGATTGCTCAAAATGTGCATAGAATTCGCCGGGTGTCCCAGCTAAGTGACTTTGAGAGGGGTTGAATTGTCAGGTTACGCAGTATACTGCAGTGCGAACGAGTGTAGACTCAGGAAGGCCGACAACAGCGAGCGAGGGGTTCTGGACGTCCAAGAGGGATTATAGAGTAACAAGATTGCCGGTTAAGGCTTCTGGCACTGAGTGATGCAGTAGTAGTCGAGCCTGACTGTCGGATAAGATTGTTATTCTTCTCCTCGGCCCACCCTCCTCCAGAATATGAGATATAAAAGCCAGAATCGCAAAGATTTCCGCTTGGAAAATGGTGGTGTGTCCACCGCGAGGCAGAGATATCCTACTTCTAGGCCCAGAGACCCCAACACCTTAGCCCTCTTCGGTGACCGAGCCGTCCGTGTACCAGACCTGCCCGCTCACTCCGGAGAGTCCCCGGCTACCGGCGTCCCACTCCTCCCTAGTTGGATACTCCACAATAAACTTGCGGTTGAAGCTATATTTAGGGGTAATACGATCACCCCTGCTTAGAAGGATGGGGTCCTCCCTTTGTAATTCGACTAAGATGGCAGTATGCCACTTGACAGGATTCAAGAAAGCCCAGCTGCCCTGACTCCACAGTCGATGAGCGACTACTCTCGCTTCACCGCGGATCACCAGATCCAACGGTGGGAGATCCAACAGAGCTTCCATTGCACTCAATGGCATTGTTCCCACTGCGCTTGTAATACTAATACAGGCCAAACGCTGAATTTTATCGAGTTTGGCCTTAGTTGTCTCAGTTCTAATGCAAGGCCACCAGACCAGGGAGCTGTACAAGAGAGATGGACGTACTATCGTCGTGTAGAGCCAGTATACCACTTTGGGTTTAAGCCCCCACCTTACCCCGACAACACGTCTACAAGCCCACAACGAATTGCGAGCCTTGCTTACCTTGTATTCCACATGCCCTCTCCAGTTCAGTTTGCAGTCCAGGATAATTCCCAGATATTTCACTGACTGGGACAAAACTAATCTAGTCCCAAAGAAGGTCGGCATGACCAGCCGGTCAAGCCTTCTTCTCCTAGTGAATAGGATCAGCTCGGTCTTTTCAGCATTAACAGAAAGATCGACTTCCCTACACCACGATTCCACGGAGTGCAGAGCGCCCTGCATAATTTCCGAGACTGTTCTACAGAAACGCCCCCTAACTACTATGCTTACGTCATCAGCATAGGCTTGCGCGTAGACACCCATACTGCTGAGCCTAACGAGGAGTTCGTTCACCACGATACACCACAGTAGGGGTGACAGAACTCCGCCCTGAGGGCAGCCTCTAGCTACACTCACGCTGCAGCTTACGTCATTCAGCATAGCTGTTGTTACCCGACCCTCCAGAGTAGATAGGACCCAATCTATTAGGATTGATCCAACCCCGTGTCTAACCAAGGCATGTCTGATAGAGTCGGTTGTGGTGCAATTAAATGCACCTTCAATGTCCAAGAAGGCCACGAGTGACACTTCTCGCTGATCTAGAGTCTTCTCCAGCCTACTGACCAGATTGTGTAAGGCCAGATCTGTCCATTTTCCAGCTTGGTATGCAAACTGATTTGCATGAATGACACACCTTTCCAGCGGGCCATCCCTTAAGTATCTATCAACTATTCTTTCCAGTGTCTTAAGCACAAAAGATGAACGAGTAATCGGTGGAAAATCCTTCGGGCCAGTATATCTAGCTCTGCCCGGTTTAGGAATGAATACCACTTTAGCCTGCCGCCAGCTTCTAGGTGTGAAGCCCGTGGCCACACATGCTCGAAACACATTCAACAGGCAAGGAACAACCGAACTCCGTCCCTGCTGTAACATGGCCGGAAATACGCCGTCCAGACCTGGACTTTTGTATGGAGCAAACGAATCTACTGCCCATACCGTCCTTTCGAAGGTGACAATCTCCCTAGCCGTGCGGCAGTCCTCCCCTGAGGGCCTGCGCAACTGCATGCACTCAGTGATTGATCGCGTTACTGTGGAACCGGGAAAGTGCGTATCCATCAGAAGCCTCAGAGTACCTTCCTCAGAAGTAGTATTCCCTCCCCCGAAGGATCATGGAGAGATCCCAATCTTGCTTTAATGTCTTTGCATAGTACCCTGTGTATTCTCGCAGTAGCAGGAATGTCGTTTATGGACTGACAGAAGTACCTCCAGGATTCTCTGGAGGCCTATCTAATCTCCTTTTTGTACTCCTGCAATGCATTTTTGTAGTCTTCCCATAGAGGATAACTTCTCTTGTGCTTAACACTGCTAAGAAGTTTGTGCACCGCTCGTTTTCTATCCTCTAATTCTTTGGTCCAGAAGGTTGCCTTGCCCTTACCTTGGACTTTGCGTAACGGGCAGTTTTCCTCATATGCAGCCGTCAAGTCACTGCTCAGAGTCTCGACAGCTGCTTCTATGTCAGAGCCCCTGCAAAGCCTGTATGGGACCGCTTCAAGCTTACTGCCAATGTCTCCCCTAAAGGACCCCCATCTAGTATGCCTGGGATTCTGAACATATTTATCCGGAATCTCTCCATCAGTCTTAAACAGACACATGTGATCCGATAGAGAGGGTGTCAGAGACACTTTCCAGTCCCTGATGTCCTGAGCTAAGTTAAGCGTGCTCAGTGTTACGTCGATAACCTCTTCTCTTACACTATTGCTGAAAGTGGGCATGTTACCGACATTCAGAACCTCAAGGTTCGATGCCCCTAGAAACTCCATCAGGTCTTCGCCCCGTCTGTTTATGTTCGAGCTGCCCCACATAACGTGATGGGCATTGCTGTCGCATCCAATCACGAGGTCGAGTCCAGAATCCCTACACAATGCGACAAGGTCCCCCATTTCCTTGGACGGAGGACGCTCTCTTGAATCGTAAGGAAGGTAAGCCGAACATACAACCAAGTCCCTGTCACTGCCTTCCTTCTTATATCTAATTCTGACTGCAACTAAGTCTCTGAAGTTGCCATGAATTAACGGAAGTCATTACGCAAGCTCTGGGCTTAGTGTCCGGGGTATCGCTAAAAAGCGTATAGCCCGGTATACTAAGCCCGTTTACTGAACAGTTTCTCACCCAGGGTTCCTGGATGAAAGCCACGTCATGTCGGCCTCAAGTGATCTCCTGAGTAAGGGCCCTCGAAGCCGCTATGCAGTGTTGTAAGTTAATTCAGGCGTACCGCCGTAGTCGAGCATCATCTTATTCCATACTTAAATATCATCCAAAACCCAGTTTTTCAGCAAGACCATCCCAGGCTGCTTGTTGCAAGAACATCGTTAGCCTTCATGGATCTACATCGCATCAATCATTTACCTTGGCCACCACAATAACCTGACCTATCTCCAATTGAACATGTCTGGGACATGATAGGTGTGTAGCATTTATATATACTTTTTTCTTTACTCAAGAAACTTTTTTATCAATCAGGTGGCTCAAAAATCCCGCATTGCGATCATTTACACATGGTCTAATGAGAGTTTAAATCGAATTGACATAATCTTGTAAACGAACGTAGACATGAAAATATCGTAGAGACAAACAACTTCTGAAGCTTATTTATCGAGCTACAGAGAGTTTATGCTACTTTTTAGTATGTCGAAGTTGGTAAAATGGTGAGTACTGATGATGATGATTTGTATGGAACAAATTTCCAATAAGGTTAACATTAACTCTCTATTTAGCTGACCCGTCATAAGTGGAAATGTTAGGCTGATTTGACGTTCAATATCTCATGTTATTACGGTAAAATGTTATAGGAATAAAAACGTACAGATTTCAGTTCTCTGAAAAATTACTTCTATTACTATTTTAACGCATTTAACACACAATTTAAACTTGTAATTTAAAAGCAGTATTTTAACGATAGACATAAGTTTCACCCCTATGCATTCAAGAACCTTGTATTTCAATTCCCTCCATTCCCTGCTCAGGTGGGGTCATGCTTTATAATGATGGACTTACGATTGGACCTTCAGTATAAGAGTAACTACTTATAATTTGACAAACGTTGATATTCAGTCTTACCTGGTGTCTCTATAATACCGGTGTCGACAAACCATAGGCGATCACAGGGGTCGACGCCAACCCTATAAACTGACACGAAGTTCTCACGTGGCCCAGGATATAGATTTATTCCCCAGTTTGGATATGGGATCAAGGGCACATTTTGTTTCTGTGGGCTGTCCAAGGGAACGTAGTTTAACGTCGATGGTACCCCTAGTCTTCTTCTTGGAACAGTTACGAAGAGTTTGTTCCGCCATACATTGGTTCCCATAGGAATGTTGTTCACTAAAAATGATGTATGCCAGTCGTTAGCCATGATTTACAATAAGCCTCGTGATCTCGTCCACAACGTCAGTCATATGTTAATCCATTCAAATAAAGCGAGACCTCTGGTAGTCAGTGTTGGTTCAAAATTCTTCTACCGCTACATCTTTGGTGTTAACAGTATTACGCGATGATTCCATCAACATAGAATGGAATGTAGCTGTTGGCTTCCAGTAATTGTGCCAGACGTAATTTTGTTCTATTTTGTATTCATGCACTGTGAAACTTAGATAAAGATATACATAGCTACATTAGACGAACGTTAAACTAACGTTTATACAGGGTGCGGCAGAGAGGATGGACGGTTTTAAAAAATCATAAAATAGTTAATTTTTACTCGAAAACAAATTTATTGATGGAATCAGGTTCACAAGGAAATAGCATTTGAGACAGTCAGGTGTGGAAAATCATATCAGGCATGTGGTGGCAGAAATCGTTGATGCAGTGCTGGAGGTGTTCTTGGAAGTTCGCGTAGACTCTCTCCAACATCGCTCTCTCAACTTGGGCGACTTCCACGCGAATTTCGCCCTTCAATTTGTCCAGAGTTCGGGGCTTGTTCGCGTATACTCTAGCCTTGAGGTGTCCCCATAAGAAAAAATCGCATATGGATAAATCTGGGGACCGAGGAGGCCAATGAACATCGCCAAACCTGGAAATAAGGCGACCCGGGAAGAGAGGGCGAATAACGCCAAGGATGCTCGGGCTGTGTGGGCGGTCGCCCCATCCTGCTGGAACCACACACGTCGGATTGGAACACGTCGCCGTCGTAATTCAGGAAGAAAGAAGTTGTGATCACGTCGACGTAGTGCTCTGAGTTCACGGTAACATCCCGACCATTACCGTTACCTTTAGGCTGTTCAGCGGTCTTTCGTGTAACTGTTGCGGATTTTCATTAGCCCAATAACGAAAATTCTGCTGATTAACCATGCTGTTTAGGTGAAAGTGTGCTTCGTCACTCATAAACAAAATGAGGTTCTCATTTTGATCAATCAGTGCTTCCATCTCACGTGCGAAGTTCATTCGTTGTGCATAATCTCCGGGCTGTAACTTTTGCACAATGGCCAATTTGTAGGGATGAAAGCGGAGATCCAAATGCAAAGTTTGCCTTACCGAACGATCACTAAGGCGAACTGCAGCAGCATGTTTCCGGGCAGAACGAGTCGGACTGCGAAGAAAGATCAGTCGAACGCGTTCAACATTTTCAGGAGTTCGAACTGTTCGCGGCGCTCCTCTTGGTCTTCTGTTGATCAGTTCACCACGCTTGCGAAGTGATTCAACCCAACGAAGGATGGTGTTTCGAAAAGGAACAGCTCTATTCCGATGAATGTTGAAGTGGCGACGAAACTCACGCTGTACGACGATGACTGACTCATTATTTCGGACGGAACAATCATAGGCAAAAACGCGGTGCTCCACCGTCCAAGGCTCCATAACGACAACTGTTAAAATAATGCTAGGATCTCACGAGTCAAACGGCACCCTCCCCACCTCTCTCGTAGACGGAGGCGGAGAGTACTACCCATCCCGAAAGCGTCCGTCCTCTCTGCCGCACCCATTACATGCGTAGGTACTAATGAGTCTAATACACGCGAAATACTGTTTATAATATTCATACAATATATTATATGATAACCGTGATTCACAAAAGGCTTCTTATTCACATCAAAATGATCAAAACGTAAATTTCAATCTATTTCTTTAATGGAACAAAAATTTGTAGACAGCAAAGCGTTGAATTTACAGTCGATAAAGAAGGAATTTAATACGATCAAATAATTTGTATAATTATAAAGTCTTATTGATTAAAACACAAATAACGAATATGAATGTGAACAATATGTAATTATAAAGTCTTATTGATTAAAATGAAAATAACGAATATGAATTAAAAAAACAAGACCGTAACTTTAATTAACTAGACGTGTGGATAAATTGCCGATTAATTGTGTCAACCTATTCCATGGTTACCTCTCTCCATGCCGGGAGTATGTTTCCCGATTACTTCTGTTTCAAGTACGATTCCTACCTAGCTTTGGTTTTACGGTCGATAAAGAAGCAATTAATTATCATGAAAACGACTAAAATAAAACTACTTGATAAATCGAACTAAAAAATGAAAAATAAATAATAGTTTGAAAAAAACTAAAAAAACACGCTCTTATAGCTAACCGAACTAAAAAGTAGAAAATGGATTTTAACTACACAGAGTTTATATTACAGTAGTAGATGGTTGAACAACCAATCATTATTAATAACCTCAAAATAAAATTATAATAAAACTTAAGTTATTAAGAGCCGTTTTACACACAAGAGAATTACTCCGAAAATTATGATCATAATTATGCCGAAAATTTGCATGGAAAAAATATTGAAGATTTTCTCTACAACCTGTATGACACAAGCAAACAAAATTTCGGAGTAATTCATATGATACGCCTGCGCATTAGAGTAATATTTTCGAATGGACATAACCTTAACGGGTATGACGTCCAATATAATCGGAAAGACAACAGACGTCGTTGATTTAAATTTATTTTTGCAATCGAGATCTTGGTTAATATTATAAAACTTCTCAATGCTTGGACTATCGCATCCAACGCCTGACGCGGCAAATTTCTGTTTTTGTAATTGGGTGATTTCACCGTGTACAGGTTTGGCCATTTTTGGTACTCCTCCAACAACAGTGTAACTTCTTCCCGATTCCACGACATTATGAATGTATGAATAAACAATAACAATAAACGCTTCTTCGTACGACTCGAACAGGACCACACCCACAAATGTTAAGTGAGGTTATGTTGTTGATGTTGACATTTGATATTGACATGCACGGAAATAACCCTCTGCGCCAATTCTGTAGAACGGGTTTTATATTTTTACCATGAAAATTTTCACAAGAATTCTTTTACGTGTAATAGGACAGCCAAAATTTTCGGCATAATTATGACCATAATTTTCGGAGTAATTCTCTTGCGTGTAAAACGGCTCTTACAGAATAATTCAATTCAGAGTAAAAAGCGTGGGGTGCATTTTACTACATTTTCATAACTCTTCTCTCATAGATAGTTGCCAATAGAATTTTTGTAACATTTAATATATCAAGCACCTCACGCTTTTTAATCTGAATTGAATTATTATTCTGTTAGTAACTTAAATTTTATTATAGTTTTATTTTGAGGTTATTATGATTTATTGTTCGCCCATCCACTACTGGAGTAAAAACTCTTTGTAAAAGCGTATTTTTAAGTTTTTTCAAACAATTATTTATTTGTGATATAAATTTATTTCATATAAAAAAACACAAAATTATGTTTAGCAATTCCTTTGTTCGGAGTTCTCAACATTCTAATAGAACAACCTGTCTATCTTCACATTTTCATATCTCACCATTTGTTCCGTATCTTTATACGGAGCATTTTTACTACATCTATCAAAGTGGTAGAGGTGCTTGTTTTTGAACTAGTCTACCCAAATATGTGATAAACATATGGATATAACGGAAAACAACTTTGACATCCAGGTCAGTAGTGGGAGACCCTGTATACTTTAAATCATTTTTAATGTATTGTAACAGGGAAATTCAGTATGATCCTGAACAATTCTTAAAAAGTTTGTGTCTCTGAGTACTACTTCATCGATGAATACTTGGGCCAGCAAATACATGTACGAGTAGCAGAATTGCAATGTTGGTGAACGGGCTAACAGGCATGATCATGAGGACATTAATAAATATCAAATACAACTTGAACATCATGAATCAGTGTAAAAGTTTTGGGCCAATGGAAACTTTTGTTCTACGAAATTTGATCTATAACTCTAACTAATTTGAAACAAATAACCGAAATCCATTACACATAATATTTTGTAGGGCTTGTTAGTTACGAAGTTTTGATGAAAAACTGGAAATCACGTTTTGCGTACTATTCCAGTTGAAGGACTACTTTTGATGATGATAAATACTTAAACGGGATTCTGGAATACTAAACCTTATCAGTGGTATGTGTGAGGTCAATGACGGGTATTCCTTTGACGTGTACTGCCATACATGTCCATCTCACTTATTTCCGTCGGTCTGTCTGTCTGTCGGTCTCTCCGTCAATCTTTGGACCACTATAACTTGAACTTGTATGAAATTTTCATGCAAGGTTACTAGTATGCTAAGGACGAAAAAGCTTTGAAAATCGGTCCAGTAGCGGAGCTATGGGCAAAAACACGAAACAAATAAAAATCGCTCAAACTACGATCTTTGACGTTTCAGAGGCTCCTGATGATTTCCAGAAAAGACTTGTAGGAGTTGAAAATCAAAGGTTGGGGTTTGTAAGGGGTGGGAAAAGGTATATCTGATTTTGTTGGCGGCAGTATATTTGTACGCTCCCAATTTTATGCACCTATCGGCTGATATTTTACACATCAAAGATATCCCCGTACATTTGCTCTAATATTTATAGATGAGGCACGTGGTTGGTCGGTACGATGGTCAATACTTCAAGCAGGGAGGAAACTAGCGTTAGCATTATAAAATGCATAGGGACTATGGAGTATGTACTAATTGTATATGGGCCTATTGGGCTGACGACTCAATTAACTTTTTTGTGATACATGTTTGTAGCTAGCTCAAAGAGAGTAACTTGGGCTGAACATAATCCTTCGCGCACTGATGACAGTATTGCGTGTCAAGTGCAGAGTTAACTTACTTGACCCCATTTCTTTGTAACACTAAGTATGGATTTCATGCGATTTCAGTTAGGAATAGAGATATGTGCAATGTCCTCTAGTCGTCAGTTTGAATTTGTGTCATCGTTTTACGTCTGCTAAACAGACTCATCAGTAGATGCTGTTTCTGAAGCTCCTAAGATGCGTATCAGATTTTGTGATTAAGAAAATATATCTGCATCATATGATCTCATTTTTAACAATGTTTGAAGTACTATTTTCTAATTAGTATTTTCCTACAAGTTGCTTCAAGTTAAATTAATAACCGGCAAGTCATTTGTATGCCTGATAATTAAAACATTACTAGTTTTATAATTTTAGTAAATCAAATCCGATGGATATGAGTACAAGAACATGAAATAATAATATTACAACCACACAAACTTTCCGTCGTAAATACGCTACCTACTATTATAGAAATTATATTCAAGAGATGACATAACAGTGTTTGTTTTTAGAAACGTTTATCGTGAATTTTATCTTAGGTGATATTACTCGAGTCAGCATATATATTCATTTCAGATTTTTAAATATTAATTATTAATTATCATATAAACAACTTACTTATAAACCTCGCCTACCGACAAAGGTCAAGAAAATAGAATGTACTATATAGTTATTTCACTAGGAGATACGAAAAAGGCACAATCCTGTTATATCATGTGTTCCAGAATTATATAAGACATGCGTTCTGCATGTAATTATGCTAATTCCGTACCATTCAAAGACATATGGGAAAATTAGCCAAAACACCAATTTGAATAATCTTATTAATGAGTGGCACTTCACTCGGAACTTTATACATATACCAGGAAATTTTCATTATGAGTGAGCCTTAGTTTGGACTCTGTTATTAGGCATGGTATCAGGAAAGGTTAACTACAAAAATTGTAGCCAACAGTATGCTCCCACCCAAAGAAAATATTTTTTTCTACAGGGTGATTCATAATAACATGGTCTATCAAACAAGCTCTTTTTTTAGTGGAAAGCCCTACATTTTATTGCATACCTGAATAGGCTCCATTTAAACAAGGCAACTTGAATCATTTCACACCTCTTATATGTAATAGCTAGAATACTGAACTTTTCGTCACGAAAGTGTAATAATCTCGTATTTTCTTCCTATTCACTTACTTCTTCAGTTTTTTGACTGTCTATATAGTGTATATTTCACATGCTTTGATTTCCTTTGTTTTTTTTTTATATAAGGTCTATTTAGGTTTGTGAGATTAGCTTTTGAGATATAACTAACCTTTTTGTCAGTCAAATATCAATGTGAATGAAAAATATTACAATACCATTCAAAATAAAAAATAGCATTAGTTGGTGACGGCAAATCGTCAGATTTGGTATCGTTGACATCATGAAATAAGTCTGCCCTACCTTATGCAATAAAGTTAAAAAGTCAAAGTGTCCCTGTGTTTTTAGTGCCAGGTCGGAGTATAACTATAACCAATCGTACAAAACTCAATCAATTTTATATCCAAAGAAAGCTTCTGGAAAGGGGAATCAAAGAATTTAAAAATATATAGGGTACTCCATTTGAATATTCTGGAAAATAGTCCACTTTGCGTTCTTGACCACCCTGTATAAACTATTCAATAAAACTTAAAAAGTAAGTAGTTATGGTAAATATGGGATCTTATTTTTTTTACGAAATGTTCAGTACTACTGCGATAACAGTTGCAGAGGTGTGACTTTTTAAAGTTGAGTGTCTTTTCGACATATTGTCCAATATCTCAGCAATTTGTAAACCCTCGAGTATCATATATTAAATTCCTTTGTTTGAAAGGACCTATCAAAATCTGCGATAAACTGCAGGACCTTCCATCTAAAATGTATGTTTGTGTCGCAGTTATGAATCGCCCTGTATAGATAATAATATTTTCATGGGCATACTGCTTGACAAAAAAATCTACGACTTACATGAATGTCTATGAGATCTATAATGGGTAGGAAGTAGCACCGCGTAAGACTACCTGACTTAGTAGTAGAACGGCTCTATCAGTGAGAAAGAATTACGGAGTATACCATTAGATCTTCCTCTAATTCTTAATTCTTACTGGTTACGAATATCTTTGAAGTGTTATCAACTGAATATTTGAGAAACACAAAGTCAAAATACCCTTAGTTTTTGAGTGCAGTTGGATCTCATTGGAGAAGTCAGCAAAGAACTGTTATAATTTTAATTTTAGTGTTGCATAGATGTTTCAGATATACTCGCATAAAAAATACTGTCAAATGTATGTTTCACGTGTTTTATGAATATTTTAGTATTTGTGCGTTATCACATCTCATGTGCTTTTTAGGAGTACTAAAACAATAAATTATCCGATTTTTCTGTTTCTTTCCTTGCGGATATTTCAATCCATACCAACGAATTCAGATTTGTTTGTCTCCAAAATCTGAGTTTGTAGTCAGGGTGGAAGTGCATACTACAAGTGGGCTTGACGTCAGTTAATTTTTTGACAGTACTATCATTAGACTGGTATTTTTAGTATTATTTTTCGCATGTGCGAGTGTAAGCAGCTAACTGATGTTAGACGACGTAAGAACATGATCCTCCTTGCATAATTTGCAAAGAACAGCACAAGCCTAATGAGGGTAGATCTTTATACCGGTAAGTATGGTTATTATTATGTTGATACAACGCAGTCACTTTGGTAGGCAATGGTAGTGAAATTTGTCAAAAGAATGTCATAAAACTATGTAATTTTGACGACAAACAATGCAACGTAGACATACAGGTATGTATATGCTTGGGTCCTTCTAATCTATTTGAATTTATTCGAACACTCACACAACACTATGCATCCAGAATTTTTAAGAATACTTTGTCTGAATTTCTACGTGATTTTCTAAAAAACATTCAAATTAATTGGCGGGGTATGCTAGCTCAATCTACTTGAATTTATCTTGACCGGGTTTCCGATAACTACTCAAAAACTATAAGTACTTACCGAACTGATAATCGATATTATTAGGTGGTTCCCTGCTTTCTCTGCCTCCCTGTGTACTGACCTCAAACTCATTGGCATTGGTCATCCCTTCAAACGTGATTACATCTGACCCTCTTCCTCCACCACCCGATCCCCGATACCGTGATTCAGTCTTCGTTTGTCTTTTGAGGTACTGTCCATCCCTGGGCCACTGATAGGTAATCCTGGTCCAAGAGAACTCCAACTTGAGGCCTTTGTTTGAGACCAAGGCGATCAAACAAAACAGGAAGATTAGCAACTCAACGCGCATCTTGTTCGGATTTGATGATTGTTGTTCAACTGGACGGACTAGCGTTATCTATGCCAGATTTATACCGATACGTCAGTGGCGGTGCATTTTGATGTGATCGGCTAATGTATACGCCACATCCTTAACCATAGCAGTATGTAAGATTTTTGAGGGCAGAGCTCACTTGCAAAATACCTGCCATCGCTCTTGACAGGCTCGCACCCTTTTAAGTTTCTCTAGGGCAGAAGGGAATATAGAACCTGGATTGGAGGGGAAGGAGTCAGTATGAAATGAGTTCACCAAAATTGACTCTAATTTGTCCACAAGTTGAGTAGCACTTTGCCCTTGCCACTGCCTCTTACATACGCTATTTAGACGACAGCATTCCTGGGAGAAGTTTTCTAGCTTAACGTCAACCAGGAGTTTGCCGATCTGTAAATTTGTTTAAAGAGTGTTTATATAAATTACAAAATAATGTTTCTCTCACTCTCGACAAAGTGCTTTTTAGGTTTCTTGGACCATGGGGTCCAAAATAGATTCTGCAAAACCTTAAAAGTAGATAATTTTCACTGGTTTAAAGTAAGGGTGAGAGTATTTTGATGTTGTCAAGTGTCCAAATTAAAATCTAAGCCATCTAATACAAGACTTCGAAGAGTGTTTTAGCCCACAGCAGCAGAAGCCTAAATACCAGGGCAACGCAGTTGCTATGAGGAGCTTAAAGAAACCTAATTCGATTTTTCTACTGTATAAGTTTAACTCCTCAGGTAGATTATTTCACTATCTCGATACCCTATGGACAAATGAGCGGTCGTATTGTATGTGTACCTTGTGTAAAAATTTCATCAACTTCCGAGTGCTGCTTTCCAAGTTATAGAGGGGTCAAGAATTAGCGGACAAACAGACAGATAGACAGACCGACGAAAATACAAATACATGTCATGTAGGTTTCGGAATTTCCCGCGATTACAATTCTTTTTAGCCTATGGACATAGCAAGTAAAATCGAGTTGGATAAATTCTCCCACGAATGTGTTTCCCTTCGTCTTATTGAAAATATCAGTTGGTTCACATTTGACCCATCCCAGAAGACAGGAATAAGGACTGATCCTAACATTTACTAGATGCATGCAGTTTTACTGTCTGTGGTCTATATATAGATGGAAGAGTAAACTACTAGGGATCATCTAAAATATCTTGAGCAACCAATTGTTTGGCAGGCAGCATAGTTTCCAATACGAAGTCCAACGTAGACCTCCTCTAGCGTACGTCACATAATTGTGGGTTTAAGCAGTCACTTGGTGAGGCTTACATCGCTAACTTTTAATATTACAAAGGCTTTCAGCACAATTGTCAGCTCCACGGTGTGCCAGTTCAGCCTGTGCGGTAAAGCTGAAGAAAAAAGGCTAATGACGTCTCACTCTTGGGCAAAATACTTGGAGGGTATAGCTACTTGAGGACGCTATAACTTGTGCAACTTAATAATCCTAAGGCTCAGTGCTGTACCGGTCTAGGTGCCTAATAATGTGCAGAACACATGCATTTTTGTCAGCTTGATTTATCGGTAGATTAGATAGTCTTCAGCTTCTTTCTATATAGGGCGTCCCAAACGTGCAAGGAGGGCGCGTTGCTCCTTAACAAAAACCTTTCAAAGAAAACTATTTATAATTTAGTATGTATTACCAATTTTGACCAAAAAATCGAAGTTTTTCTTTAATGAAGTAACCTACTTATTATAACATATTCGGATATGTTTTGATTATTAGTTGTTGAGCTGAGATGCTAAACCTACCATACTGATTGTAGAACCGAGGATACATGTACTATTTTTGGATGTAATGTAATTAATGTTGAGAATATATTATGGTGTTTGATTTAGTCTATGGAACCATTCTAGATGTATTTTTTTGTCATATTGTGTCTATTTTAAGCTTGTTAGTTCCTCCATGCAACACTTTTACTACGTTTGAACTAGTAAGATAATTTGATGTTTGCTGATCTGCAAAACTGACACGCAGTATCTCTTTTATAATTTGGGATTTAAAATATCGTTTCTGTCATACTTTAACATACAGAATATAGCACATCTACGTTATTACACCATACATACAAGAAAGGTAAGAGAGAGCACATATACAGAGATTGACAGACATACAGTCAGAAGTGACATGTATTTTTGTGTGTCCGTCACCTGATACATCGTACGCGTCTTGAAGCAGTGATACGGCTATGGTTTCAATGTACCAGGTCAGAAACATGGAATTTCCAGCATTTTTTATTTAAACTTTTAATTACCCTTTGAACGTGATTTGCCAATTTGTCAACATTGAATCATACATTTCAAGTTCCTGTATTGTTCCAGCAAGACCTGTATGGTACACTAACAGCATAAATATACATGTGTATGTAAATATCAGTGTTTATATTTCACAGAGTGCAATGGGACTACTAACCCATTTTATGCATAGAGTGTGAATTACCAAAGATTGGATACTGTTCGTCAGACAAGCCATTATTAACTAAAAGAAATGGGTGAAAAGTTGTGCTCTTGAATCAATTCCATATAATTATGTAAATAGTAACGTATGACTTGTAGCAAACTTGCTTTTAATTGGTAAATCAAGTGATGCAGAATAATGGGGAAACTGCTGATCCATGCAAAAGATGGTATGGGATCCAGTCGGTAATGGAGTTCATGGTTCACTTAGTTTTATCCGTTTCAACATTTACATATTATGGAATGCTTTCGGTAAGATGAAATATTATTATCTAAGCATATAAAGAACTGTTCCGTATAGTCGCTCCCTAAAATGACAACTCCGAGAAGTTTCGAGAAAGTGTAATAGGCATCGAATTCGAATTCTGGCCGTGAAACAGCCGTTATGGTCTCCATAACTGATTTCTTGTAGAGATCAAGTAAAGCGTGTACACCAAGAACTAGAGAGATGAAACCCTTACGTTCTTTTTGCAGGTGAACTAATTATAGCAGATCTCCCTTATGGCACATAGCACAGAATGAGGTATCTACCTGCTTTTACTGTTGCTTTTCATATACAAATGGGTTGAAATTATGCTTATTTGCTAATTGCTAAACGTATTGTTTGCTATATTTTTATACTCTGAACGTGTTCCGTTCCATAAACAGTGTTTTTACACCTTTTTAAAAAAATTCAAAGCATGAACATCCTTGTTAGTGCCAACATAAATGCCTTGTTTGTTCTTTGCATCCTATAAATAGCTAATTTAACGCAAAGTCGAGGTAGTGACATTTTTGAGCGACCAGCGAGCGCTACTTCTACAACATTTATAGTTCTAGGCGTTAGCGATGCTCCTTGACGAACAACCTCTTTGATCCGTTCATATTTTGTGAACTTCCCCGGTTATTTCTGCCTCAATAAAGAATCAGATGAGATCTGCTATTACAGAAGGTAATATCAGAAAAATAAAAAATATGAATTTTTCCAGAAAGTATAAGTGCTGAGAATGTTTTATTCTTGGTAGTTTAATATCTAATACCTACCCAAGTCGATGATCAGTTATTTAAGGGATAAATCATGGCAGGTCCGTGTAGTGAATAATATATGAGTAAGCTTGACATTAAAAAAATTGCCTTCAATTATAAAAATATGTTATTTAGTTTCGGGGTGATTCCGGATGAAACGCCATCTTGCCTAGATGCAGGGCGGTCAAGTTGTACAATTTAGGAAATCCAACGAAATGGATGAAAACATTTTCTTAAATTTTTGTTCATATAGTGAAGCCGCAAAATCCGTTTGCACACAAACTGCTTCGAACCAAACCTAACTGGTGACGTAAAAACACCGTTTTACCGCTATTAAGATAACACATTACACATTTTTCTGGAGAACTATGTTGTTATTGGCCGAGCATATTGCCCAAGGATATAATGTGCCAGGACAATAATGACCTTTTCGACAGAACGGCGCGTAGAAGAGGGACGTTGACGATATAAATATATGATGGAGCCCAATAAATATATCGGACACGTATTTTTTTGTCTCTGGTTTTCAAATTCTTTCTTCAATTTATCAGGTAGCAAGTGATTTTGAAAGTGTTAAAATAACCAACAATAATAATTGCAGTTATAATATAAACTCTGCACTTAGTCGTTTGAACAGACACTATTAGTAAGATTCACAAATTGATAAAGAGCTTAACAAGTCAGCCATGAATGCACCCATTCATTACACACCTAGAGCTTTTTTATTATGATTACTCATCTACGAGGAGAAATGCAACTTCTTATAGGAATAGAGGAAACAATGGCAATTTCTCACGTTTGTGGTGAAAAAATAATCACTACGTCATAATCTTCTTACTCAACTTTCGTACACGAATACTCGTCCTCGAAAACTTTTACCCAGTTTTATATTTTGGTAAAAGTATGATATAAGAATGTCTAAGAAAAACAATAGGAGAACTTTTTTTTTATTTCTATCCGCTTTCGCAGACTTACTTACAATTAGTCGAAGTAGCTTACATCATATGTTATAACATGATTTATGCTGTAGAGCTTTTCTACGCTGACGCACAAAAACTGTAGGGTCAATAAAAATAAAATGTTCACAAAAACATATCACTGAGTTTTATTTAATATTTGCAATTCAAATTACATATTTAAAATTTACCCTTAACCTGATTCGATCAATACCTTCTGCAGTATTCCTCCTGATTTTCAAGCAGGCAGCAAATGTTGCATGAACAAGTAGTAACAAAAGCGAGGTAAGGTCAAGGGAAAGCGATCATCTTTGAATCGTTATTCGTGAATTGCTAATTTTTCCGGTAATCTGAGAAAATGTTATTGTTTCCTTACGTCAGAATGCAAGGACTTTATTTTCACACGTAAATTCAACAAACAAATTGTATACATAATAGACCTTTTGATCATTCAAGCGTTTTCTTATATTTTGAATATTTTGATGATAATCTGTAAGGCAAGAAACAGGCAAGTTGACAAAAAATTACTACTACGACAAGGACGAACAAGCTTTGTTGGTTCTTAATGTCAATCCAGTGGCAGCGAAGCCAGGCAAAAAACTAAAAAAGTAAAAATCGACCAAATTCGGTCTTTTGCGTTTTCAACATTGGACAATTTTTCACGGGAAATAAATTGGGGGTGGA